AATACTATATTTATTCAGACATCACGAGATTAATACAAGTTACCTTTGTATTCTACAATCACTAGAGATGCTAAAAATGGTGGTCTTCCAGACATTTAATAGTACGGCAAGCTACTGCTTGGGCAACTTTGGCCAAAGCGACCACTGACATTGCCGCGGAAACATTTCTTGTCTAAGAGCCGCCAATGTAGTTGGTTTTCTGCGATGCACAACATCCTTTAGGGTGCTCCACATTAAACAGTATTATCGTAATTTCTTAAAACGACGAAAGACAACCGGCCTGTCGATCGGAGCTTCAGAATACGCCGACTGTACCTGTTCAGAGTGGTAAGACCTCTCTCACCCACCGCTAAATGAGGCGCCCTGGTGATGACAAACTATATCAGCGTCCTGGGTATGACGATAAACTACATGCGGTAGTAAGGTCTATGATTAGGAACCATCACTTAAATGCTGGTGTTGTCTCTAATGTTCACTTTTATATTTACATATGCTCTGTCTCTGATGTTGAACCTGACAAAACAATAAATATAGCACACCTTTAAACTAAATTTTCATATATATATATATATATATATATATATATATATATATATGAAAATTTCTCAGAGTTAACCTGTAGAAAAGACAATATTTTTAAATATAAATGACATTAGGAAAACAGTAGTAGTTGCCGACGCGTTTCGTCCGATGTGGGCTTTCTCAAAGCAAAGAACAGTAATTGGCATAATTTTTCAGTTAACCGTATGAAAATAGCATCCTCTAAATTCTTCCAGTTGCTAAGGACATTTTGTTTTTATTATTATTAGTTACTTTGTTTAAATAAATTCATTTCGTTTTCGCTTTGAGAAAGTTCATCGGACAAAACGCGTCAGCAACTACTACAGTTTTCTTATTGTCATTTTTATATATATATATATATATATATATATATATATATATATATATATATATATATATATATATGTAAAATTTCTCCGTCGGAAGAATTAACAATTTCGAAACATTTTTTTTTTCAGTTTTTTTCAGACACAGACAAATATATTCCTGCTTTTGGAAAATTATGTGTCTGGTATATAAAAATATATATATTCTTCACACACACACACACACACACACACACACACACACACACACACACACACACACACACAACACATATACATACATATATATATATATAGTTAAATTTCCAGATCAATTCTGTACTAAACAATAGAACATAATATTTATTCTAAGGATAGTCATCATTAACATAACAAGTCTTTCCAGGGTACCATGGACTGGTACCATATTTGTGACGGATCTGTATCTATAAAAGGCAGGATGTGTGTGTGTGAGTAATGAATGCACGGCCGCAATTTTCGACGGATTTGCACCAAAATTTACATGCACATGCTCCAAGTTAGCGGGAAGGCCAAGACCGACATTGCATTTCCCAACTCCCATCGATAGTGGAAATAATCGATTTTTTCATGCTTCTACGGCACTTTTCATGTAGTTTGCGGCCATTTTCTACTGGCCGGAGTGAGAGCCAATAGCTGGCTGCCACGAATAGGCAGGAAGATTCTATTGGCCAGCGTGAGAGCCAAAAGTTGACTGACACGAATGTTAGCTAGCAAAAAAAAAATCGATAGCTGCATTCGTCACAAGTGGGAAAATTTAAATCTGCATGGCACTTTACTCCAATTGGCTCATTCTTGCTTAAACTCAACGTTGATTCTGATTCCGCAGAACTGGGTTGGGGTGAAAAATTATTTGTTGTTAACATTCTTTTTCATTCGGTTTTCCAATTATTGAGTCCTTTTTTAAAGCTGATCGTTTTGTGTTCATTTTGTTTAGTTCTTTTTTTCCTAACAGATTTAATGTTTAGTATAGAGGTTAGAAAAAAATTCGCAGTGTGAGATAGGCAAGAAGTAAGGCATGTAGCAACATCAGCACGGCAAAGGGCACTCCTTTAAAGGCAAAGAAATGGCAAAAATATTTTAAGTCAAGTGATAGCGATTGTTGTATGAGTCGTACGATTTTTGAATCTAGCCCGGGCAACGCCGGGTCATGCTGCTAGTTGATTATATAATAACGATCCAGGAAAATATTATTTGCACATTCGTAGTATTATTCATTTATACCAGAAAGACATAATAAAAGTTGCATCAGTTTTTTTTAATTTTATGTAGATTTTGTAGAAATATATGTCCATGAAAATAGCCTTTTGGTATTCCTATGTATGTTTCCCACACAGTCACACGCCACATCCTCATCATGGTATTGTCATCAGTATTTCATTTCACTGTTTGCCGTTCATTATATCGCATATCGTTAGTTATATAATAATGAATACACTGACCTAAAACATAAAATCAAGACAACAATAACACTAAAATGGCAACAACTATGGGACAAAAATACCAACAATAAACTCTACCAAATAGCACCAATTCTAAAGGAAAGGCAACTGAATCTTAAGACAAGAAAACACTGTTCGACTACGCATTGGACACACAAGACTGACTCACTCTTTCGTACTAAAACAAGAACCTCCTCCTAAATGTTCCTGTGATTTTACACTGTAAAACATAATGTACAAACCTCACACACATCCGTAGAAAAATTTATAGCACGAAGAACATGAAGAAATTATTTGCAAAAACTGAACCAAAATATATATTGGATTTTCTAAAAAGAATTGGTCTTTTATCAAAAATTTAGACTGATGGATAAACAACATATCCTACCTTTTATCATTTTGCAAATTAATTGTCCTTTTATCAAATGGAAATTCTTGACTTAAACAAAAGTACCTAGTATTACTTTGCAGTGTGCAAGCAAATAAGCTCTAGGTTGCTAAAAATGTTCCATACAAAATAGACATTTAAAATTCATATAAACTGGATTTCTCATTAAATAACCCACAGTGGTTGATATGCCATAAAACCCAAACAAACAAATAATGAATTTTAACATGAGTAATTGAAAAACGTAACCATCTATATAATAAATGCCAATGTCAGTGTATCACTGTACCACTGTTTTTCAACTTTACTTCTAGAGGCTGTAGTCCAACATATACCATTTTGGAATCAGGCCGATTCCGTGAGCAAATTAAAAATATTCCGGGTCGGATCTTGAGCCGCAATCCTGAAATTTTGGATTCTCAAGTTTTCATTACTTCTTTTTGTTTTCGGATTCTGCCATCTTGGCCTCTACTGATAGAAGCAATTAAAGGGACACAACTCTCTAATTTTCAATAGCTCATGTTCAAATGCAAAAATTACTGTTTTCAAATTACAGTGTTTCAAAATAAAATTGCCCGTGTTTTCAACTTTACTCCTAGAGGTCCTAGCTCAAAATATCACACCATTTTGGAATTAAGTCAACTCCATGAGCAAATTAAAAACATTCCTGGCTGGATCCGGACCTGCAATCCTAAAATTTTGCGTTCTCAGGTTTTCATTACTTCGATTGTTTTCGGCGATTTTTTACAGGATATTTTTGCGACGAATTTTTTGCACGATAACAATTTTTATAACTTGGAAATAAATTTGGGAATAATCAAAATTAAATGCAAAATCCAGCGAAGGTCACCCATGAAATAAAAATAATTGTTTTTTTATGGAAAGTAAGGACCTACGTACATCAAACTGTCTTAAAATGGCGGCAGAAGAATTATCTGAAGTTTTGAAAGGTAAGCTTAAATATTAATGCAATACTTAAATGCAGTTATTAGTTTTGAGTTCTTCAGTAGTTTATTGTTGCCTATCGCATCTACCCTACCCTACATATTGCGATGAAGGCCCAATGAAGATCCCTCCGCAGGAGCTAGCTTAAATGCCATCCAATATATAAAACTAAAAAAATAAAATAAATATAAAACTAAAATGTTAAAAAAAAAAGAAATCAGTAGTCTGGCAGTCTCTCATGGCGTGGAATATGACAACCGTTTCTTTGTTTCCCGGAAACTCCGCATACCGGCAGACGGTGACTCGCTTACCGAAATCGGTACTCGTATCACACTCTTAGTAGCTCTGCCATAGAATATGTAACGAGAAACCATTTAACAAAGAACAACGTGGATAACTTTGGAGGTGGATAACCACCTCCAAAGAACTTTGGAAGTGGTTATCCACCCCAAAGAACAACATGGAAATAAACTCTTGTTCCTAGTTGCTATTAAGATGGGCACAATGTCACTTTCCAAATGACCCTTGCTCTGCTATATGGCTGGTATTCTTTAGTGCGTCCACTGAAGTAACAGTGGATTTTTCCCCATAGAACTCTCCATAAGCTTATTCAATCATTAACCTATGAATTAAGATTCATCAGAAAGTTAAAACACGAAACATGTCCCCTCCTTTTTAGGTAGTTCTTCAGTTAGTTCGCATGACCGTTCAGTTCAATTATGTGCCATACGTGATACATTATTGCCGAGGTAGATTTTTTTCCCGCAGTAGGTTACCATTTCTTTCTGCGGTAGACCAGTTGCCATCCAAGGCTATAGAAACCGGTCTGTCCTGCTATTTACCCATAGTTGGGGTAGAAAAAGATTCATACGTTTCCCACGTAAGTGAGGTAATAGATTCTACTGGAATTCGAACTCGGCTTCCCGGTTCCTCAATCCGAGTCGCTATCCATTATAATTGACCGTTACGCTTTCTTATTACCATTGTATTGCTGGTCCTGCTGCTGCTGCTGCTGCTGCTGAAAAAAAAAACTCAAGGAGATATAACTACGAAAGAATGTAATTGCAATTATGTTATAAAGCCTTCAATTAATTTTTTTACATAGGATAGAATTAGGAGACTTCAAAACTATTAATTTCAATGAAATGCTGTAAAACCGTAGAATTTCCAAGGTTAACGTCAGTTATTATTATTGTTGTTGTTGTTAAACGGCCAAACGAAGAAAACATTGCAATAGGCATACTCGACCCACTTCATGGTACTTAGAATAAGGTTTGGCAGTAAGTTATTTATTAGTGAGATGGGATTTTTCCCTTTGAAATGAATTTATTAAAATGTAATTACTTTTCTTCTTCTTCTTCTTCTTCTTCTTCTTCTTCTTCTTCTTCTTCTTCTCTCTTTCTCTGCACGCAAACACATTCCCTCTACGCACAAACACACTCTCTCTCTTTCTCTCTAACACAAGTACGCATATATTCTCTCTATATATACGCCCACGCAAACTCTCTCTCTCTCTCTTTCTTCTACTTCTGCTTTTTCTTCTTTTTTTCTTTCTTCCTTTCTTTCTTTCTTTCTTTTCTTATTTCCGTATATTCTTCATTCTTTATCATTTCTACTTGACATTCAAGCAATTGCTTTAACATCGCTTTTGACATAATTTCTTCTTTTTTTTCTTCGTCTTCTTTTTGCGCCTCTTTCTTTCTTTTTTTCATTTTCTTTCTTTCCTTCATTTTTTTCTTTGTTTTACATTTATACCAACCATTTACTTAATTATATTTTATCATCATTTTTGGCACGTTTATTCCATCCCTAAAATTACTTTTTAGTCAGTCATTCATTCATTCATTTCTTCTTCTTCTTCTTCTTCTTCTTCTTCTTCTTCTTCTTCTTTATATGTGTTTTGTTGTTGCTCTTCTCTTTCTTTCTTTCTTTTTCGCTTATACTTGCCAATCAAGTAAAAAAAGAGAAGATAAAGAAAACTATAAGACTCTCATGCGTTTAGCATCGCTTCAATGAAAATGGAAAACCCTGTCAATTTTTAATCTTTTCCTTTGTAGACTCTGACTTTTAAAAATAACGATCTGCATTCATTTTTATTCTGTTATTGTAATATTTTGTTAAAGTTGTTAATATTTTACGATGCACCATGGGAAATTCCATGGAGATTTTAGAGTCGTTGAGGTCGCAATAAGCTTATTCAATCATTAACTCAAGAATTAGCCTCATTTCAGAAAATGAAAATAGGAAAACCGACATTTTTTCACGTACTGTTAGTTATAATAATACGAGGGTCGACAGAAAAGTTCATAGGCTCACCAACATACTCTCATAGAATGTGACCAAATGAGGTTTATTTTTTTTAACACAGTCTCGCTTGTAGCCCACACACTTCTTCCATTAGTCTTGCAGTGTTGGGATCCTATTACTGCAGAAGATTTCACCCTGTTGGTGAAAAAAAATTATCAAAAGCAGATATGACGTCATCATCAAAGTGATACTTGTTCCCAGCTAATTGCATGTTGGTGAACAGATGATAGTCAGACGGAGATAAATAAGGAAAATAGGGTGAGTGATCAACTTTTTCAAAGCCATAGTCACGCACAGCGAGCAACCAAAGCCTTGCAGGTGAGAAAGGGGTGTTCCCACTGCATGGATTGTCTCTTTGCCTCTGGCTCAAAGTGATGAACGCAATCCTGGATTAGGAAATGTTCAAGGAAACCAGCTGGATCTGCCTCAAACAATATCAGATTTTCTCATGGTGTGATCAGCCTGGTGCACTTTTGATTGGGCGTCAGAAGACGTGGCACCTACTGAGCAGAAACGTTTGTCATACCAAATTCATCGTGCCGACTATTCTCAATTCTCTCACGTGATATGCTAATAGCGTTGGTTATTTGATTTAGAGTCAATCGCCTGTCATCCATTACCATGTGGTGGACACGATCAATGTTTTCCTTGGTGGTGGCAGTCACTTTAGCCATTTTTAAGACCTTCCCCTACTAAATTCATCTGCCAACAACTGAAACAACTTTGGCTTTCTTCTTTGGAGCAGTTGAGAAGAGGTGTTTCCACTGAATGGATTGTCTCTTTGCCTCTGGCTCAAAATGATGAACTCAATCCAGGGTTAGGAAATGTTCAAGGAAACCAGTTGGATCTGCCTCAAACAATATCAGATTTTCCCATGATGTGATCAGCTTGGTGCGCTTTTGATTGGGTGTCAGAAGACGTGGCACCCACTGAGCAGAAAGTTTTATTATACCAAGTTCATTGTTCAGAATATTCTCAACTCTCTCACAGGAAATGCTAATAGCATTGGCTATTTGATTTATAGTCAATTGTCTGTCATTCATCACTATGTGATCAATGTTTTCCTCAGTGGTGGCAGTTGCAGGATATCCAGACCTTGGGTCATATTCAAGACTCTCCTTCTAAATTCAGCTGCCTACTTTTGTAGTGCTGATAAAGCTGAAACATCATCCCCTAATGAAGCAACCACCATGTCAGCATGAATGTCCTTGGGGGATAAACCCTTTTTTGCAGATACTTTATAACACCACAATGTCAAATTTTGTCCAGTTTTGTTAAGTATACTGAAACTATGAAAAGCTTAAAACCTTGGAATGATTTTTTCAATGATTTCTTTTATTTTTAGATTGTCTTTTAAATGAAAAACAGAAAAATATTTAAGAGATACAAACTCATATATCACCAGCTTCATTAATTGGAAAATTTTGATAAAGATCTAACATTTCTGGGGCCCTATACATGGGGGTGGTATTCTTGGCAATCTACAAAGAAATTAAGAAAAATTATATTTTATGTAGTATTGATGATCATTCATCAGATCTTACAGACTGGTGCTAAAGAATCACAAAGAACTTCAAATAACAGAAACCATATCACTCATTCTAGGTTAGGAAGAGTTCAAGAAAACCAGGATCGGCCTTAAACAACGTCAGATTTTCTTATTATTTAATCAGCCTAGCGCGCTTTTGAAAAATGAAAACTGTCCATATACGACAACAGTACTCTATTTCCAGCCCCTTGTAAAGTTAGTGAATAGCAGGAATAATCAGGTATTTATTGGAGCGGTATAGTGAACAAACCATTTTAGCAGCATCTTTAGCACAGTATGTACGAGTTTCACTTGAGGTCTGGCTTGAGCTGAAGTTCCTATAGGCGCAAGTTACCTCCCTGAGAGAACGCCCTTTCCTCGCTATAGGCGAAAATTCTGGGTCCGATCGTTAGTTTGGTTTTCCAGGCAGTGAATGTGAGCAGCCAGCTTTTCCCACACTGTGCTGCTAGAGTCAGATCAGAGGAGACATCAGTTGTTAGGCTCTGGTCATCTAGAACAGACATGGACAGACACTTTCCGACCAGTGAACCGCATGATATATAAGCTCATCATAAGACAGGCCGCATTACTAAACTAAAATCAAAGTAATTTTTCGTTGAAGATGACTCGGCCATTTTCACTACAGAAGACCAGAAGGCGTAAATCCTTGTTTTAGAAATGGGGAAAAGTTGATATCTTTTTTTTCTTTGGAGAAAATATTTTTTCTATATTTTAACAACTGAAGACTTGGTGCCAGATTATTACTGATGAGAATGTGATTAACACATGCTTCGGCTATTATTTGAAGATTCCTCCCCATCTAAGCTAGTCAAACTCTCTGCTTTCGGATGGAAAGGAACCTAGACGAGGCTATGCCGAAGCGCAGAGTCTCGTCTCGGGAGGTAGACAGCTACCCAACCCCGTTTTCTTACGGGGTCTACGGGGAAATTTTGCCAGAGTCCACGGGATCGGTTTTACCCCGCATTAAAAAAAAAAGGCGTTGTGCCACATCCTGCCTTGCGGGGAGGTAAATTAAATAACCTTTCTTCGCGTATTTTTTGCTTCTAATTTATTTGATTATAAAAAAAATATTTGTAAAAAGAAAAATATTTCTTCTCCAGAGGAAAAAAAGTATGAGTCTTTCTCGGTTTTAAAATAAACGATATTTACACTTATGCTATTCCTTAATAAATATCATCAATTGTTTTGTAACGCTGAAAACGTTACCATTAACGAAACGTTACAAAATTCAAGAAACATTTGATCATTGTTATGTATATGTTTAGTCAAACTATACACAACGCAACAAGCAATAACGGAGGTTAGTCTGACATTTAATAGTTATTCCCCTTTGACACCAGCTTCCCCAGACCATTTTGACTGAGAGAATCTGTGAGTGAATAAGTGAAAACGAAGCGAAACAAACAAAATTGTAATAAATATTATTTTTCTCATGAAAATAAGTGTGACATCCAGAAACCCAAACGCTACATGTTGCCCACGCCTTGCAGTTTGCCTATGACTGAGTTTTTTATGTGCAGCCATAGTAATTTTCCAAGCGTAGCTCAGATGTGGCCGAAAGTATGTGGCACCCAGTGAGGATCGAACTCACTACTTAGTCGTAATTCTTCTAGCAAGACAAGCTTGCTAACTATTGCAGCACCTCGAGGTGCAGCCATATACCGTTGCATCATCAGCATAGATATTCAAAGAACAATTACAACTGGGTAGTGAATTCGATCCTCACCCGGTGATCCTTACTTTCAGCCTTGTGCCACATCAGCTTAGAAAATCAACATAGATATTCACAAGTGATCAGACTCTTAGGCTGGTTCTTTATGTAAAGTAGTAAGATGGTTGGACCAAGATTTAGAGGCGCCTGCGTTGATCACTTGAGACTCGGAGGAGTGGCCGTTAACAACTACCTTCAGGATCCTACCCGTTCTTCTTAACAGGAACAAAATCTAACAATCTGTTCTCTCCATTCGTTTATTCATTCCTCTTTTGCTTACCGCCTTGTCTCAATTTTCTCCTTTTTTTTTTTTTTTTTGTTGCTCAAATCTGTACTTTTCTTCCTTCCCTTTTTTCCACGTTTCGTTGTTCCGTTAATTTTCTTTCTTACCGAATCCAAAATATCAAATCATAACAAGAAAAGAAAAAGCAAAACAAATTAAATAAATAATGACATCTACATATGGCAGGCAGACATTGCTGAAATTGTAAAACCGGACCTACTTAAATTGACTGGTCCGCTTGAGAAAAATAATAATAATAAAAAAATCAGGGATTTTTTTTCTGCGATAAGGAAATAATTTTAAAGATTACCATTCATTAGAAACAAGAAAAGGAGTACTAAACTGCTATGTGATATCTGTCCTCCTGTGTGGCAGTGAGTACTGGACGATATCCCCCAAGAGGAGACTTGAAGCAACAGAAATGTGGTTCTACTGAAGGATGCTGAGGATACTATGCACTGAACACGTGAGCAACGATAAAATGGAGTTTTGGGGAAAATGGAAGCAAAAAGAAATCTCATACATAACATTGGGAAGAGACAGTTGAGGTTTCTGGGGCACGTAATGAGGAAAGGGAGCTTGGAAAATCTAACACTCACGGGACAGATAGAGGGAAAGAGGTACAGAGGAAAACAACGTATAATATACTTAATGAGTATAAATATGTTATGCGGAACAATGCTTAGGATTAATAATTGAAAGACAAAGTTTATTAAGAGCTACAAAGGACAGGAAGTTGTGGAGAGCCATGATCGTCTACGTCCTGAAGGAACATAAAGACTAAGATTTTCGTTTGCCAACGACATTTGCCAGAACAGAAAAATATTGATTTTTTTTTTTTGTCCTGCTTGTGTGAAATTCATCTCTAACTTGTATTTGAAAATTAAGAATATACAGGGTGCGATGAATAAATTGTCGTTTAAATTACTTAAAAATGAAAATAACACTGACATCTCATTTTAACAGATATATTTACCAAAATTACATAAAAATATCTTGAAATACTAAAGAGTAAATTTATTCAACAAAATTATCATTGGTTTCAACCACGGCCTCCAGACGACTTTGGAATCTCCTGCAACTCTTCTGGACGGTCTCCTCCATTAAGTTAGTGAATGCTGCCTTCAGCTCATCTTTCGTGTTACAAGGAGTTTTGTTGGTCTCTCGCTCAACTGTGCTCCACACATAATAAACAAGGGGGTTGCAGTCTGGGAAGTTAAGTGGCCAGATATAAGGGGTGATGTGGTCGCAGAAATTGTCTAACAGCCATGACTGGTTTTTCCTGCTTGGTATGGTGCAGAGTCCTGTTGCCAGACATAGGGTCTTCCAGTAGCAATCCCCTTAACCCAGGGCAGCACCACCTCCTCAAGGCACCTCCTCAAGGCACTTGATGTAGGCCTCTGTGTTGTGGAAGATGAATAGTGCCATAACGTCATCATCACAAGTGATCATAATTAGCATTAGTTATTCAACACTTTCAGAATCCTTTGTACTGTCCTCGGATTGACACCCAAAACACTCGTTCGTATCGGAGCTTCCGGTGCGAATGCCAAGCAGTACAGCATGCCGTTTTCAAATTTCTGGTGGAATGAATTGCGTCTTGAGGCTAAAATCTAAAATAAACAACGCGCATGTGCGAAATTAAAAATATAAAATGGCAAAATTTACCCATCGCACGCTGCATGTATATATATATATATATATATATATATATATATATATATATATATATATATAGTCAAACCTAGTGAGCCAGGACAAACCTACCCAGGTTTCACCTAAGCGGATGTGATTTGATTATTGGCAAATCAAAAATTCGAAGGTTTTCAAGACAGTATATACCTATATATAGTTATATATATATATATATATATATATATATATATATATATATATATAATTGTTACCTAATAATACTAACATACTTATACTTGATGTGAAAATAATTCTACATACTGCAAGGGATTCTAATAAATTTACTTGTTCTTAAAAGAAATATAGTATATTAAAAATTAAAAGTGAAAATATTTTTCAAATCATAGTTAAATAAAACGTATTCTAACCTAAACACCACCACCCCAAAACTCTTTAAATATACAAATAGAAAAAAATGCCGTAAGAATTTTTGCCGTTAACAATAAAATTTAAAAAAAATCCAGACGACATGCATTTCACGGATGTTAGATTTCATTGAAAAATACATCCGTACCCCCTACCAAAACGTAACTAATAACTGATACATCAAAATACAGCGATAATGAACACGCAAACATCCCTTGTCTGGTTAAATTGGATTTATCTGTAACCTTGGAAACGTGAATTATGATTTTAGCTGTGTCTTTAAAACCCAGTAATTTAAAAAAGTTACTCCAAAATTCGCTTGAGGATGAAACGGAACTAATGTCTTTAATTTAATTACAAAATTAAATCCGGAGCTTTCAGCTTCCATTTTTGAAACATGGTTAGAACTGTGTAGCGAAAAAAACATATTTTAAATCAATTAATTTATAATATATATATATATATATATATATATATATATATATATATATATATATATGTGTGTGTGTGTGTGTGTGTGTGTGTGTCTGTGTGTGTGTGTCTGTATGTTTAAATAAAATGTAGGCATACCTTTATAAAGTTGATAGGTTTCCTGATTTATTTAGCTTTTTCAGAAATTGAAGAGATATTGAAGAGAAAAAATGTGCTCAGTGTCTCATAACAGAGCAAATATGTAATTCCCCCCAAAATTCGGATTTCAATGTCGCACTTCCCGCCCTCTGTCAGAAGACATGCAAGTCCTAATGTTCTTAATTTCTTTTATTTTGTAGGGATTACTGTCTCTTGAGGCAATGACCACTGCAGACAGTTTCCATGCATTATTGCCAGAACATTAAAGAAACTGAATGAAATCTTAAACTTATAAAATTTTCCATGTCAAGGTATCACACACTAAAAAAAATGGAGACCAATTTATTACATAGATTATTTAGAAAACCAACCTTACTACTACCGTGGTTTATACCAATTAGGTATCGTCAAGTATTAAAACTGGATATTCCATACCAAAACTCCCTTCCATACATAATTATGCCGCTGATAAGGGCGGCAAAGAAAGAAATAAAATAAGGAAAATCTCTTTCTCTCTATATATATATATATATATATATATATATATATATATATATATATATATATATATATATATATATATATATATATATATATATCTGTGTGCGTGTGAACTCATTTTTATTCCTTCTCTTTTCTCCCCACTTATCATTCTTTCTCCATTTTTTTTTTTACCGGGTTCCTCCCATTACTTACCCACAACCGACCACCCGAATTATCTCAATCACTATACGCCAATCTCATCTAACCGACATTCATCGGCAACCCTCTCCACGACCTCTATCGCCCGCAAATCGGTTCTCTCCCCTACACACACCTTCTTAGGTTCCTCGTTTGTTCTCGGCGACCTGATCATATTGCTCCGTTTCCCGAAATTATGGAAGCCTGTCACCGTCAAAACTCTTATCGCTTCTTGAAAATTGATCGACGGTTAATATCAAAAGTTATCAATAAGATCCGTTTCTTCCACGCATGCGCCCAAAACTGGAAAGTCTTTAATAAAGCCCAAACCAACTCCTCTTCGCCGTCTTCTTCGTTACTCCATTCCTCCCACCCATCATGCCTCGTTCTTCCCACTACGTCCTAAACTTTCTTGGTGAGCTAGGGTGGGAAGGCAAAAGTCGGGAGGTGGCGGAAAACGTCTTTGAACTAGCTTTTTTTCCCCACCCCGTTATCCTTTTGACTCTGACCCCCAACTCAACATGGCGAACGCTTTAGCTCTAGATTCCAACCAATTCGTTCTTTTTTTTTTTTTTTTGAATAGTGCACAAGGGAAGATGGGGTTTGACTGCTCCATCAAAGTCATAAGGAATGGCACTAACCAAGCAGACAGATTTTACCCCAATACTAACTGAAGAATCACGAATCTCCTCGTTCACCATCACCTCTAACCACAGATTGGCACCCTGCCTATTTTCCTCACATTTTCGTGTCTACCTTCTTAACATCGCTTTTATTTTTGATCTTCCATTCTATTTTCGGTTTGTTTTTCATGTTTACTGCTTTCCTTTTCCGTCTTTCATATGTTCTTCCCTATCTATCTATCTATCTATCTATCTATCTATCTATCTATTCATATATGTCTCAATATGTTATATATATATATATATATATATATATATATATATATATATATATATATATATATGTTCCTATCTGTCTATATATGTGTGTGTATATCTTCCTATCTATCTATCTATTCATATATGTCTCAATCTATCTATCTATCTATCTATCTATCTATCTATATATATGTCTCAATATATCTATATATATATATATATATATATATATATATATATATATATATATCAGTATGTTCCTATCTGTCTATATATGTGTGTGTGTCTCAGTATGTTCCTATCTATCTATCTATCTATCTATCTATCTATCTATCTATCTATCTATTCATATATGTCTCAATCTATCTATCTATCTATCTATCTATCTATCTATCTATAAATGTCTCAGTGTGTTCCTATCTATCTATCTATATATATATATATGTGTGCGTGTGTGTGTGTGTGTCTCAGTATGTTCCTATCTATCTATTTTAATCTATACATATGTCTCAGCATCTATCTATATATATATATAAATGTCTCAGTATATTCCTATCTATCTATCTATATATATATATATATATATGTGTGTGTGTGTGTGTGTGTGTGTCTCAGTATGTTCCTATATATCTAATTTACTCTATACATGTCTCAGCATCTATCTATCTATCTATCTATCTATCTATCTATCTATCTATCTATCTTAATCTATTCATGTCTCAGTATCTATCTATCTATCTATCTATCTATCTATCTATCTATCTATCTATGTGAGTATCTATCTATCTGTAATTAAGTGCCACCAAAAAAATCGCTAAAAAATGAGCATAGACGTTGAAAAGTTTTATCGTCAAAATCTTCATGTTATTATTAAGCGTAAAGATCAAAGGATGTTTTTCATGTACAAATATTTCTTTTAATTGTTTTTAGAACCTTCAAATTTTTGTTAAAAATCTTCTTTGTCCGGTGTCAGCGCAGTGCTATACAGTGGGAAATTTGGGCGTACTTTTTTGCAGCACGAAACACACTGATTTGGAAATTCTAGCAAAAATCAGATAATTGTCACACTTTTATGAGACTTTCTGGACTTATTCACAAATAAAGGAAATCTTTTTAAGTGTTTTTTTTTTCTTTTTATAAAAAAAAAAATTCTGTAAAATTATTTTTATATCTGTTAACCCTCACTTATTTAATTTTATAAATTCTTTTTTTGTAACGCATATAGTTATAAGGACAAGTCCTTGGAGAATTCTCGGAACCAAACTCGATCAGCAGATCCTTCGTGGCCGAGAGGATAAGGCACGTCAAATCTAATGACGCAGTTTTGAAACATTCAGGAAGGTAGATGGAAATCAATAGACACATCAAAACAAAAAAGCTGGGATAAAATAAAATGCGAGGCCAATTTGACTAATTTGAGGCTCCCTCTCTCTCTCTCTCTCCCTCTCGCTCTCTCTCTCTCTCTCTCTCCCTCTCTCTCTCTGGATCAGCATCGCCTCTATATCTGCTTCACAACCGAGTAGTGGCGCCTGGTTCAACGCAGTGCCCTCTTCACCTACCGGTACCCTTCTAGATGATGAGTGCACTCGAGTCAGAGTTGGGATCCGTCTCGGACTCAAATTATGTGAGCGTCACCGATGCAGATGTGGAGCCTTCATCGATGAGTTTGGTCTGCATCCTCTCTCCTGTCGTCGTAGTGCAGGCCGCTTTCCACGGCATGCAGCCATTAACGACATCATCAAAAGAGGTTTGGATGCAGCTGGGTTCCCTTCCCAAATCGAACCCGCAGGCCTCGACCATGGTGATGGAAAGCAGCCGGGTGGCATTACCATTTTCCCTTTTAAAATGGGGAAGTCGTTGATTTGGAATGCGACCTGTGCGGATACATTTTCGGTCGGTAATTTGATCAGGTCCGCGGTTGAGCCAGGATCCGTCGCCCGGGACGCAGAGATAAAAAAAAAATAGTTAAATATTCTTCTCCTGTTGATAGATTTTTTTAAAACTCCTGTGGCAGTGAAGACTTCTGGGGTTATTGGCCCTCGTTCGATGGCGTTCCTTCGGAGGATTGGCGCGATTGCGTCTCGATTAAGAGACGAGCCTCGCGAAATGGTGTGGCTCTTGCAGCGTGTCTCACTGGCGATGGTTCGAGGTTAATGCTTTCTCCATCATTGCGGCTGGTTATACGCTGTTTCCCGCGTCTCTTTTGCTTTACATATATCCTTCAAGTGTCAAATTTTCCAAGCCCTCTTTCCTCATAATGTGCCCTAGAAATTTCAACTGTTTTTTTCTGAGGTCAATTATAAGTTTCCTTTTTGTTTCCATTTTCTTTAAAACTTCCTCATTGATCACTTGTTCAGTCTATGATATTGTCAGCATCTTTCTATAGAACCACATTGTTGTAGCTTCAAGTCTCTTATTCATCTGTAAGAAGATTGTCTAGCATTCACTGACATATTGCAGGAATGATATTACATAACACTTTAGTACATTTTTCTTTGTCATCTACCAATATTTCTGAGATGAGGTATTGTAATTATTTACTTCATTCGGATAATTGTCCTCATCTTTATTGCCATATTCACGACGTTTCGGCCGTTGTACGCTCTGGCCTTCTTCAGTATTTGTCAATATTTCTGAGATGAGTTATTGTAAGTATTTACATTATTTACTTCATTCGGACAATTGTGCTCATCTTTGTTGCCATATTCACGACGTTTCAGCCGTTGTACGCTCTGGCTTTCTTCAGTATCTGTCAATATTTCTGAGATGAGGTATTGTAACTACTTACACCATTTACTTTATTCGGACTGTCGTCCTCATTTTTATTGCCATATTCACGAAATTTTGGCCGTTGTACGCTTCGGCCTTCTTCAGGATCTGCCTATATTTCTGGTATGAGGTATTGTAAATATTTACACTATTTACTTCATTCGGACAATTGTCCTCATCTTTATTGCCATATTCACGATGTTTCGGCCATTGTACGCTCTGGCCTTCTTCAGTATTTGTCAATATATCTGAGATAAGGTATTGTAACTATTTACACTATTTACTTCATTCGGACTGTTGTTCTCATCTTTATTGCGATATTCACGAAGTTTCGGCCGTTGTACGTTTCGGCCTTCTTCAATATCTGCCTATATTTTTTTTTTTTTTTAGATTAAGTATTGTAACAATTTATTTCATTCGAACTGTTGCCCTCAACTTTATTGCCATATTCCCAACGTTTAGGCCGTTGTACGCTCCAGCCTTCTTCAGGTGATATGCGTTGGAATTTCGAACCCATTATTTAGTCCGCAGGAGTAGATTGTTCTAATTCCACGTGACATGCCTTTCGTTAGCTTAAAAATGAAGATAGAAAACTTTTTACGGGCCTTTCTAGTTATCATTACTAGTTTTAACCCGAAAGAAATTCACGATTTTTCTATTTTAATATTCTGATGATTCTTAATTTCTAAGTTAATGATTAAGTAAACGCATGGTGAGTTCTACAATAAAGCATTCGTAAAAATTCCCCCTATCACATCGTTGAATATCTGAGCTTAACAATTTTAACAAATTACTGCAATGACAATCATGAATATGAATGCATGTCGTTATTTTAAGAAATTGGTTCAAATAAAAAGATTTAAGATTGACATTTTCCATTTCACTGAACAACTCGTAGAAATATGCAAGGCTTATGGAGGACCAACTAAAATAGAAGTACAAGAAGATGGGTATTAGGCGATAAGAAGAAAAGGGAAGAAGGAGGAAAAGAAGAAAAATAAACATTGAATAAAGGAGAATATTAATAAAAAGAAAGAAAAGAGAAAACGAAAAAGAAGAAAACAAAATGAGAAAAGAATAATAATAATAATAATAATAATAATAATAATAATAATAATAATAATAAAATGATTGACGTAACTCTTCCAATATTTTTCAACAGTTGAGAAGAGAAGAACGCGATTTAAGAAAAGAAAAGTCTTTGACAATGCTGAACAATATTTCAATAGAATGTCTGTCTTCAAGTTATATTTAAACAATATTTTTATGTAAAAATATAGATCTAAAAAATATGACTTTTTACAAACGAATACAAACATATGTACAAACATATACTTGAAAAAAATTGTTTAAATATAACTTGAAGACAGACATTCTGTTGATATATTAACATTGTCAAACACTTTTTTTCTTTTCTTTATCCTTTCTTAAATCGCGCTTTTCTCTTAACTGTTAATAATAATAATAATTTTAAAAAATGCCTTCTTATCGATATAGCAGTCCCTGCTGACTGCAATGTATCTTTGAAGATATTCAAAAAGTTGTCAAAAATCAAGGACCTTGAAATAGAAATCTCGAAAATGTGGCATATGGGAACATCAACAATCCCTGTTGTAGTTGGAGCCCTAGGACTGGTTGGAAAAGATTGCAGTAGACTAATTGAAGGGATTCCTGGAAGCCGATGCCTCAAGGAGATACAAAAATTGTTCTGACAAGTACAGCCCACACCTTACGAAGGACTTTATCGATGTAATTTAATTTTTTTTTTTTTTTGTCAGTGGAAAGTGTCATGATGCCATTTCTAACCTTAGGTTACTGGCTGGGACCCGGAAAGAAATATGTATCAGAAACAAAAGAAAATAAAAAAAATAAATAATAATAAATAATAGGAAAATAATTTAAGAATAATAATAATAATAAAAGTGTTTGTTTTGTTTTTTTTGACATTTTTTTGGTTTCGTTTTTTCATGTCATAAAAATAGCTATTTCAAAAAATATACGACTTTTAGGTCTCTGGATGGGACCCTGAAAGAAATATCAAAACATGAAAGAAATCAGCAGTATAATAATAATAATAATAATATTATATTATTAATAATAATAATAATAATAATAAACCATGGAGAAAAAACATGTTATTTTAACATCGGCTGGGACCAAAGAAAAATAAAAAGCGGGATCTTAATAATAATAATAATAATAATAATAATAATAATAATAATAATGTTTTGAAGTTTTTTGGAGGAGGAGGGTATTGGATTACAGCAACGAAGAAAAAGGAAGGAGAAAAAATGAAATAGAAAGATTGATAAAAGGAGAATATTACTAAGAAAGAAGAGAGAACAAGAAAAAGCAGAAATCATAAAATGATAAATAAATAAATAAATAATAATAATAGCAACAACAACAATAATAATAATAATAAAGAAGAAGTTAGACTGACTCTCTCTCTCTCTCTTTCTCTCTCTCTTTCTCTCTCTCTCTCTCTCTCTGTGTCTCTCTCTCAGAATTGAGATGAAATTCCCAGTTGCTGACGGATCATACGATCAGGACCGGAAGTGATGCAACGTCGTTATTAACACAATGAGAGAAAGATATGACGTGAAATGGGTGTGGCTATTCTACCCAGCTATAATTAAAGGAAGCGCTCCCTCTAAAGACAAGTATATAAATAAACTGATAAATAAAATAAAATAAAAAATAATAAGGAAATATGAAAACACTGAAAGGTCGACAAATCTTGAATCTCCTAAAAACCGGAAATGAAAATATTTTTATTAATTGTCAACGCACCAGTCTCGGGTCCACTATCTAAAATCATTATCATTCACGAAACCTCATGAGATACTGAGGCAAGAACACCCTCCACATTACAATATTCATTAATTTAATATATTATATACGAACCCGTAGCTTCATGACGAACCAAAAAATTCGTAGCCCTCTTCTTTTTCTACAGGCCGCGTCCCTTCGGGACATGTAAGATCATGTCTCTCTACAACTTCCTCTTTTTAGTAATGTTGTTCTTTTTACTCTCCTTCCAATTCTCTGTTTGTGCATCCATTTGCACAAACTCCTTACTCACCGATTATCTCTGTGCTTTTTGCCTTCGATAGTGCAGAGGAGACTTGAAAGAATAGAAATGTGGTTCTACAGAAGGATGCTGAGAATACCATGGAACAAATGTGCAACGACGAATTTTTAGAGAAAATGGAAAGAAAATGAGCAAAGACGAATTTTTAGAGAAAATGGAAAAAAAAACGAACACTTAAACTTAACATCAGTTGAAATTTCAAGGCCACATAATGAGGAAAGGGGGCTTGATACCCCCCCCCGCCACAAGAGAGATTGATGGACAAAGAAAAACAAGGCATGGATGGCAGAGTAAGGTTTGAGAGAGATAGCACAAAGACAAAATTAATTAAGCCCTACAAAAAACAGGAACTTGTGGAGAGCCATGATCGTCAACGCCCTGAGGGGACACGACACAGAAGATATTGTGCATTCTACAGTAAAATGTTCAGATAGAAATTCAGCTAATAACTATATCAGATTTACAATCTTGTGTATACAGTGCGCGCCAGTTATTTGAGAATATCTTCGGTGAGTCGTAAAATGAAAGATAAACTAACGTAATGTTACGTGGCATTGAGCCACATATTACATTTTTCATTTCTCTTGCCTTCGTATCGAGAGCTATTGTTCAGTCACTAATGTCACTCCATTGTAAATTTTCTGTTGTTAACAAAAAGTTTGATCCGATCAATTCTTAGTCCTATGTCGGGTGTCAACCATGTGAAATAAAAAAAAAACACTTAATTTATCCTTAAAAATGCGACAGGCATTGTTTTGTAATATACCCACCTTCTACAGCTCCAAATCAACGAAGTGACTAAGTGATTAAGCTCGTTAATCATTACGCCGAATTGAGAACAAATATTTTTTATATATATATATATATATATATATATATATACTAGCAGCATGAGCCGGCGTTGCCCGTGCTTGATTCAAAAATCGTACGACTCATACAGCAATCGCTATCACTTGACTTAAAATATTTTTGCCCTTCCTTGCCTTTAAAGGAGTGCCCTTTTCCGTGCTGATGTTGCTACATGCCTTACTTCTTGCCTATCTCACACTGCGAATTTTTTCTAACCTCTATACTAAACATTAAATCTGTTACGAAAAAAGAACTAAACAAAATGAACACAAAACGATCAGCTTTAAAAAAGGACTCGTAACTGGAAAAACCGAATGAAAAAAGAATGTTAACAACAAATACTTTTTCACACCCAACCCACTTCTGTGGCACCTATTGAGGATCGAACTCACTATTCATTCGTAATGGTTCTAGCAAGACAAACTTGCTAACCATTACACCACCTTGAGGTGACCGTGATTTTTTTAAGCGTAGCTTAGATGTGACACAAGGCCGGAAGTATTTTTAGAATGTTAGAATTGGTGTGGGGGTGGTAATAATAATTTAGTGATACAAGTCTTAGTAATTAACCCATAGCTGGAGGAGAAGAGGTGGATTCAGACCTTTCCCAAGTTAAGGGAATAAAACGAACCCAACTTGAATTGAAACTCGGCTCTTCGATTTACAATTCCGAGCCATTATCCATTAGACCACCTGTACATTCAATCTTACAGCCCATGAGATTCCCAAGCGATCACTCATCTAGGTATTAACCAGGCTCAACGTTGCTTAACTTCGGTGATCGTGCGGGAACCGACCTTTCAATGTGACCTGGCCGTAATCACAAATACCCCTGGGAAAGGTGTGAAACCGTCTCTTCTCCATCCAGGTTAATTAGTAGGACGTATCAGTAAGTCATTCATCATTTATCCAGTTAGCGCATTTTTGAGCCGCTGTGGGCATCACTCACTTCAATTTAGGTTCATGATGACATACAAGGCAGAATAGTGTAATGGCTTGCCAGTTTCTTTTTTTGCACCAGGGGATGTTGAGGTTATCCCGTCCCTCCTATCAGAATTTAAAGAGGCAGAGTGGTTTGAATTCAAAGTTTTCCTTCTGCGAGACTGGTTGACAACTAAGCTATAACACCCAGTCTATCTTGCTATTTTACTCATAGTCGGTGGGAGGGAGAGAGAAATTAATTCATACTTTCCCCAAGGGTATTAGCACATAAGTGTATGCAATGATCTTAAATAGAATTCGAACACGGCTCCATTACTACACCGTGCCTTTTTTTTTTATAGTCATTATTATCTAAAATGGATAGCGGCTCGGATTGAGGAATCGGAGAGCAGAGTTCGAATTCCAGTCGAATCCATTACCTTCACTTACGTGCTAATACCCTTGGGAAAGGTATTTATCCATTTCTTCTCCTCCAAGCTATTGGTAAATAGCAGAACAGACCGGGTTCTATAGCCTTGGATGGCAACTGTTCTACTGCAGAAAGAAATGGCAACCTACTGCGGGAAAAAATCTGCCTCGTCAGTCGTGTATCGAAAAATACATGATTGCCTAAGAGTGTATCACGCATGGCACATAACTGACTATGTAAAAAAAAATAGCAAGCTAAAAAAATTTTCTGGTCTTAAATACTCTGCAAGTGGTTGATAACCCGTCAAAAACAAATAAAAGAGAGTCAAATAAAATAAAAAAAGACAAAAAAAAAGAAGAAAAAAAGAGTAATAAAAGAGTACCCTGATTCTTGGTTTTTAACTCATAGCCAAGTTATCTCCAATAATACTATCCTTAATGAAGGCAGTGGTTGCTGGGTGATATTATATTACTACCGTCGAACTGGTAGCAATAATAATAATAATAATCATCTACATTAGAAGAAATGAAGACAGACAGAAAGACAAACATGCCGTCATTGAATTGCAAGACTATCCAAATTCGAGAAGTATCACCCCTGCTTCTCCCCGGCCTTCTTACCACCTCCCCGGACAACGAGTTAAAAGACGCCATATGGGATGCCCCTACCCGTTCGTAGCCGTTCCCCGTACCCATTTGAGCCGACCCTATTCCATTCATGCCCGAAATTCCGGTTGATAGGCCTAAAACTATTGGGAAAGCCTGCGAAGTGTAACTGAGATTGTTGAAAAGAGGGAAATATGCCTCGACTCGCTTGTATACACGCGCATGCGCACATATACGCAGATGTGTAACAGTACGCATGCTTAATAAGCACTCATATCGGCCCGTGTCAAGGTTCACTATAGGAGCAACAGTGCTACCATTGCAATTTTTTTGGCTAGTAAAGGTAATAATGAGAGAGTGATTTCAAACTGCTTCACTGTCATATCAAGTATCGTGGCATCCCAATGACGAGATTTTTTGTCACGATATCTGACGACAGGACATAGTGCAAAGGGAAATGCATTAATTACTTTCCCAAGGGCATTAGTGTAAAGTTAACATTAGTTACGTTAGTTCGAGATTTGTTCAATGATTTGTTTGTCCACGCTTCTCTTAAGCACTATACTTCCCGTATTTTTAAAGGACTTATTTAATTTTCACGTGAGAGTTCCCTTTTCTCGTACGAGTGTGCATAGGGCAGTAGTCAGCGTATGTAAAGAGGTTTCGATAGAGTGCTTTCGGCTACTTGTTTAAATGTATGCGCGTATGTATTAAACATATATATATATATATATATATATATATATATATATATATATATTTGTATGAAGAAAAATATACGGAAAAAACAAACAAAAATCCTAATATGCAATTATGCTGTTTTAATTTTAATATAATGTCAACGTCGGACGTTTCGGTCTAATAGACCATCTTCAGGACATATTTATAAAACATAACATAGACCATATTCAATTCAACATGAAAAAGACGATGGACATAAAAGCAAGACCAATCCAAACAGATAACTGAAATTTTTTATAATATCAGCGTTCCGTTTAAATATGATCACGTCGTCGTCACGTGGGCGATGTTGTGAAAACGTATTCCTAAAATGTTTCATGTTGAAATGCCTCAGTCCACACACTGTCAAAGATTTTTTGAAGTCTATGAAGACATAGTATAGCTTTTGTTGGTGTTGTAACTATTTTTTTCAGAGTATTCTGGCCTGTTCTTCTGCTTGGGACATCAGTCTATTTAGGATGATTTTTAACATCATTTTGCTTGCATGACTAATCAGACAGCTAGTTCTGTAGCTTTGACATTATTGGAAATTGCCTTTGTGAGGAAAAGTGATAATCAATGATTGGGTCCATGTTGTTGGCCATTAGCTTCATTGCCAAATCATATATATATATATATATATATATATATATATATATAGATAGATAGATAGATATACTCGTTTCGAAAAAACCCGAATTTTTCATTTGCCAATAATCAAATCAATCTCGAGGAAAAAACCCAGATACGAGTAAACAACTAACAAACAAAAGAACTCAATACAACCGTATATATATATATATATATATATATATATATATATATATATATATATATATATATATATATTCACTGTAGTTCACTGCTACGAGCAAGCAGAAATATTTCTTCTCCTGATGATGACCATGTTGGTCGAAACTAGTCGTGGAATCTAAATGAAATAATAATAATAATAATAATAATAATAACGAAAGAATATTAATCTACAACCCAGTGTGTCTGAAGATTTTAATTTTTAATATTTTTATTGTTCAATATATATGTGTGTGTGTGTGTGTGTGTGTGTGTGTGTGTGTGTGTGTGTGTGTGTGAAAAGAATATATAGAAAATAGGAAAGAACTCGTTAGGTAAATAATCCAAAGTTAACCGAGATATTGATACAAATTATTAACACTTTTTGCCCCTTTTCTGTGGACGGTTGCTCTAGCCGTTACCATAGAAATTTTGGTCTTAATAATGAATATGCTTATAAAACACATAAATTTCAGAAAAAAGTTATTCCAAAAAAACTTTTTCTTGACGATGGAACAGAGCTTAGTAATTTAATTCAATTTAATTCTAATAATTATATTGAAGTTTTCGGCTCTTGTTTTGAAACATGAGAACTCTTATGTAGCGTGTTGAATCATATTTTTAAATGAATAATTATATATATATATATATATATATATATATATATATATATATATATATATATTATCATGGTTACCACAGTTATTAGCATAGGATATAATTGTCATTATTGCCCCTTTTTTTTTTTTTAATTCTGTCATTAAAGCTAAATTTACCTTAACAACTCAATGTTTATTATTAACATTATCAATAATAATACCTATAACTTTAAGTTCCCGACCACCAACTTTTATCTTGCTTGAAATCCCTTTTTCATTGTTTGTCATGAGTTTGTTTACTTTTTTTTGCCATTAATCTCTATGTCAAATCTGGTGGATGTTTCATCCAGGTTCTTTCCCAGACTGACAAGTTCTTTAACTGATAGACCATTTATGCCATCAGTAAAAGTTAAGGTTTGTGATTTGACCTCCGATGCTGATTGTACCCTGGTGTTCCTCAAATGTTACTTCTAATGTATTCAAAGAGGTTAATTGTAGGGGACAGAAGACACTCTTGGCGTAAACGGACTGATAAGTGGGATACATTCCAATGCAACCCAAGAACATTGTTGCCCATAATGCCTTAGTCTACACACTATCAAAGATTTTTTTGAAGTCTGTAAAGATATAATATAGCTTCTGTTGGTGTTTTGAGTATTTTTCGGGGAGTACTTGGAGACAAAATATCTGTTTTGCAGTATTCCTTCTGTGTGGAACCTTGTAGCATGACGGTAAGGATTGTTCTTTCTTATGACGTTCATACCATTTCAAATTTTTCCTCTTGACGGTGGTCATGAGGTCTTCCAACGGGCCTGGTTCTTTTTTGATGGTGCCCATCATTACATCATTTGTGATGCAGTATGTATAGGAGATACTGAGGATATTTCTACAGCATTTCATTTCTAATGCTTGGATTCTTTGCTGTAATTCTGTTGGCACATCCTAGGAAGGCAGTTAAGTTGTGAGCTCTTATGAAACCTCTATACCCTTATAACTTTCTCTTCTTGATGGTGGATATGAGAGTTCTTCCAATGGACCTGTTTCTTGCCTGATGGGATTTCGTACTGCATCATTTGTTATCCTGTCTGCATAATGCCAAAGATGGTTCTGTAGAATCGATCAAACCACCATCACCGAGTCATCCAGAGAGCCATCCAGGGCTGGTGCAAGGATTTTGTGCACCCCTCATTCTATAATGCCCCCCACGAGTCTATGATAGCGCCAAATCTATGATACGGGGCCCTATTCTTGATAATTCGTATAAGTATGACAAGTTATTTTATAAAATAGATGTAGTTGTAGAAATTACATGTTAGGAAAATCTGTCAGGTACAACTATTGATTTACTGGTTCGCACTTGAAGCTGGAAGATTTACTGAAGATGATCCATCACTGGATAAACAAAGTACCCCAAGAATTTGTGCAGATGATAGGTAGTCCTAAAACATTACTTGACTGCTACAGGTTTAGGTTTATTTTGTTTGACAGCATATCAACACCGAAAAGATTTTTAGGATAGGTTCGTATGAATAGAATATGTATCCTTTGTAAGAAACCAGTTTATAGATCAAGTTTCATTGATGCATTTTTGTAAAGAGAGTTTTGTCTAGAGTCAAATGTATTGCTGGTAAAATTTTTTCTTTCAAAAATGTATTGCTGGTAATATTTTTTTCTGCAAATATGTATTGCTGGTATTAATTTTTCTTCAAAATTGCATTGGTGGTAATATTTTTTTCTTCAAAAATGTATTG